CTGTCCCCGCAGCTGCCGCCACGGCTCGGTCACCCCTGTCTGCGCCTTATTTCCAGGCATTTCCTTTCCCCCGTCCCACTTTGTTCGGCTTGGATGCTGCTGAAAGGGAGGGCTTGGCAGCGCCGGGATCTGGATTCCTCTTTCTATGAATAATGCCCTTATTAAATTTTAACATATGAACCCAACAGGCCGGCCCCAGTTCCCGGCGCTTTCCTTCGCGGGCCCGTTCCCAGGCTCAGCTGGAGAGGTAACATTCCCAAACACTGAGGCAGCCCCAACCTCTGGATGGCCCTGCCCTGTCCCTTGCTCCACATCCAGGATGTTCCTCACGGGCGTCCCTTCCAGACCCCACTCCCGGCGTCTTTCCTCCGTGAGGGCAACTCCCACCGCCCTTGGCTGCTGCCTCGGGTGCCCAGGCTCACCACGAGGCGTGCTGGGGACAGGGAGATTTTTAGACAAAATGGAGCACTGGGTTTTTGTGGCTGCTGCTGGGGCCGGTGTCCCTGGCGCACAGGATGCCCTGTGCCTGCTCGGGCAGTGCGGCTGTGGCTTCCCATCACGCTGCTGTCAGGATCAGCTTTCGGGGCACTCGTGACTCACTGCCCGTCGTGGGGTGCCGGCTCAGCCCTGACTCAGCTGCTGAGTCACTGTCTGTCTGTCTTGGCGGCCTGGCTGTCTGCGCCGTGCCTGGCAGGGCCCTGCTGAGCTGAGCTGTGCTCCCCGGCCCTCAGCAGGTGCCCGTCCTGCGAGGCAGCATCCTCCCAGCCGCGCTGCCGGCAGCGCTGGCACCTTCTGGCTCCCAGCCCGAGTCGCTTGTGCAGCTCGTCTGCATCAAACGTGCTTTGTGTGGGCCTATGTGAAAACAGTGCTGGGCTTGGGGACAGAGCCTGGGATGGCCCTGTGTGCCCTGGCCTTGTGCTGTCTCTTATCTTCCCCGGGGTGCTCTCTGGAGCTGGGATGTTCCTCAGCCAGTTCCACCCAAGCAGGTGTGTGGAGCACAGAGAGAACCTGGGCCCCCAGTGCTGTTGGGACCTTTTCCAGCTGCTGTGGCTGAGGGAGCTGTGTCCAGGCTGGGCCCTTGACAGAAATGTGGTGGTGTGGGGATGGCTGATGTCCTGCAGTGCTGGGTGGGTGCACCCGAGGTGAAGGGACCCCAAGGCTCATGCTCAACCCTCAGTATGGGGTATCAGGGTGAGCACAGTGTGGGGCCCTGGCTCTGGGGCCTGGGATCTGCTCTCCATGGTGTGGGCACTGCCTTCCACATCCCCATGGCCTCTCTGGCCTTTCCCCTGCCCCTGCGCTCGCTCTGCTGTGCAGGGACTGTGGCAGCCACAGCCCAGGGCTGCACTTCCAGGCGGTGCAAGGGGAGGCAGATGCAGCTCTGCATTGGGTGCTGAGGGTCATAGAGGGGCTGGGGTTGTGTCACTGGGGCTGGTGGCTTAGAACCTGCCAGCCTGTCCTGGCTCATGAGATGAGCAGGGCTTTTCTGCAGGGCCCAAGGGCTTGGGGCTGCCCCATCCTCCCTCCCTCACTGGGGCTGTGCCCGGGCTCTGCCGGGCTGCTCTGCTGCAGGAGATGCTCAGCTGCCCCGTGAGGNCGGCCTCATCGCCGACCTGGACACGCGGTCCCGCGGCCCCCAGGAGCACACCTGGTTCAGTTACCTGAAGAAGGGCTACCTGGTACTGTCGGACAGTGGGGACAGAGTGACAGTGGAGTGGGACAAGGACGAGAGCACGCTGCAGTCCCACCTGGCTGAGAAGGGCCGGGGCATGGAGCTCTCGGAGCTGGTGGTTTTCAACGGGAAGCTGTATGCGGTGGACGACAGGACGGGTGTGGTCTACCAGATCGAGGGCAACAAGGTGGTGCCGTGGGTGATCCTCCCAGATGGGGACGGCACCGTGGGCAAAGGTGAGCTCCCATCCTGCCCTGTGAAGCCCTTGGCTCTTTTCACCTTGCTGGGCTGGGGTGCACCTTTGCTGTGACCTCTGGGCCTGGCCAGGAGAGGGCAATTCCTGCCGAGAGACCAGCTGGCTGTGTGGGGACACTGTCCAACACCGGGCTCAGGGGTGAAGGGTGTGGGGCATGTGGGACAGTCTGGTGGCCACGTGCTGACCGAGCCCCCCTCATGCCATTCTTTCCACCGCAGGCTTCAAGGCGGAGTGGCTGGCAGTGAAGGATGAGCACCTGTACGTGGGAGGACTGGGCAAGGAGTGGACCACCACGACAGGGGAAGTGGTGAACGAGAACCCCCAGTGGGTGAAGGTCATTGGCTACAAGGGTGACGTGAGCCACGAGAACTGGGTGACAAATTACAATGCTCTGAGGGCTGCAGCAGGGATCCGGCCGCCAGGTATGGAGCAGGACAACCTCCTGCACCCCATATCCCACACTCTGGATGGCTCCAGAGCCATACAGTCACCTTCCCAGGGGATGCTGGCACTGGGGGAGATTTAAAGGCTATTGGAGGGCAGAGATCTCCCCTTGTCCTGGTTCCTTTCCTCTGCTGCCTGTGCCAGGAGCAGCTGAAGGTGGCTCAGCTGGCCCTGGGCCTGGCAGAGTGGGGTGTGCTGGGTGCCCCTGCCTGGCTCTGGGTGGAACTGAGGGGCTGCTGCCAGGCAGTGGGGCAGGAGCAGGGGGGAGGTTTCATGGGGGATGCCTGTGTGGGCTGTGGGGTGTTATGGAGGGGATGGGGAGGGTCCCGCCCCAGCGTGGCTGTGGGCTGTGTGGTCACGCTGCCCTTCCTNATCCCCCCGCCGCAGAAGGTGCTCTTCCCGGCCCACAGCCTCTCCATGAAGTGGGAGCGGGTCCACAGAGTGGGCGCCGGGCTGAGCAACCTGGGGAACACCTGCTTCCTGAACTCGGCGCTGCAGTGCCTGACCTACACCCCGCCGCTCACCAACTACCTGCTGTCCCGGGAGCACGGGCGCACCTGTGAGTGGGGACCCCGGGGCAGGGGCCGGGAGGGACGAGCAGCGTCTGCCCGTGCTGTTCGCAGTGCTGCTCTCAGCGCCTCTGTGCCTGGCTCTGTGAGGGAGTGCAGATACCGGGACACACCTTCCCTGCCCTGCTCCTTTCTGCCTGTTTCTCTGTCAAGAGGTTGTTCCTGAGTCCCACTCCCTTTTCCTGGCCACAGCAGTGTTCCCAAGCTTGGCATCTTTGTCTCTGCTGGGTGTAGCCAGGACTGAGATGGGCCCAATGGGGCCTGCTGGCTTCTTGGGGGCTCAGCTGGGGGGTCCCGAGTAGCCCCTGACTGTGGGGAGTGCAGAAGAGCAGCGTGGCAGGCGCTGCTGTGAGCTGTCACTGTGGGGAGCACACAGACCTTGCAGCCCCGTCCATAGCACTGCCTGCGGGATCTGCCCCTCAGGGCCGAGCTGTGGGCTGCTCCAGTGCATACCTGGGTCCTGTTTTCTCTCAGTGTGAATGCTGTCTCATCTGGGGAGCTGCCCTGGCTGCTCCTGGGATGGGCTGTGCCAGCTGGGATGGGACAGGGTGGTCCCCATCTCCTGATATGGGCCGTGCCAGTTGGGATGGCATGAGCTGGTCCCCATCTCCTGTGGCATCGAGCTCATAGGGAAAGCTGAGCATGGCTTCGCTGTATTGGACCAGAGATCCCTGTCCTGCCTCCATCTCTCCCGGGTTTGTCCCCAACGTTGTGTCATCTCTCCTGCTCCAGGTGCCCATGGAAGCTTCTGCATGATGTGCACTATGCAGAACCACACGATTCAGGCTTTTGCCAACAGCGGCAATGCAATAAAGCCACTCTCCATCATCCGAGACCTCAAGAGTAAGGAGGGCTGACCCCCTGTGACTAATGTGGGAGCAGAACTGTTGGGACTGGGGCACGTTTCAGCAAACAGCTCCACTGAGATGGCTCATGCAGCCTTGGAGTGCCTGAAGACTTCCTGGGCTGCCAGGGGCTTCCTCTGTGACATGAGTCTGGTGTCTGGTTTGGGTTGAGGGGACTCAGAGCCCAGAGCCCTAGCCCCAGGAAAGGCAGGGAGGGATGGCATCTGCTGCAGCACGTGCTGAGCGCTCCCTCTCTTGCAGAGATTTCCCATAACCTGCGCTTCGGCAGGCAGGAGGATGCACACGAGTTCCTGCGCTACACCATCGATGCCATGCAGAAGGCCTGCCTGAATGGCTACACCAAGTATGTGGGGCCTGCTGGCCCATCACTGCTCTTTGCTGTTCCCTTGCTGGTCCCCTGCACTCACGGGAGTGGACTGTGGAGTGAACATGTGCCCCAGGTCAGCCTTATTGTGGGGAGGTTCTGGCACCAGGGGCCTCGGGTGTGGGGTCCAGCTCTGCCCCTCGGGGACAGGGCTCTGGGCTGTTGTTCACCTTCTGCTGACTCCTCCACCTCGGCACAGCTGCAGTTCTGCCCCCAAATCCCGAGGCTGCTGCAGGCTGGGATCACATCCCACTTGCTGAGGGATACAGGCCTACTGCTAGCTCAGCCCCAGTCCTGTGGCTGCAGAAGGGCATCTTCCCCCAGGCCCTTTGTCCTGGGAAGCTCTGCCTCTGCTCTGAGCTCCAGCCAGGAGCTTCTGCTTCCTCAAGAGAAAGGCGTGTGCTGGAGCCTGGTGTCACCCCTCAGCTGGGACACAGGGAGAGCAGTGAGGCAGGGGCTGTGACTTCCCACAGCCCAGCCACTGGCCAGAACAGAGAGGGGCTGTCCTGAGGGGTCCAGCAGGGCTGGCTGCTGCAGTGTGGGATCTGTGCTGCTGTCTCTCTGCAGGCTGGATCGCCAGACCCAGGCCACAACTCTGGTTCACCAGATCTTCGGCGGTTACCTGCGCTCCCGTGGTGAGTACCAGCAGCCTGGGCTGGGCCTGGGCAGGGAAACCATTTGGGAACACGGCTCACATGTTTAACTTACCCAGAGCTGCAGTCAGTCAGTCCTGCAGCATTTGTGGGTCACCACCCCTGGTGTGGCAGTGGGAGAAGCCACTGCCTGTGGGGCCCAAGCTGTGGGTCCCCAGCTCACTGCCCTCAGCACAGGGAGCTGTTCCCAGCGGTCTGGCATCACCTGCTTTCCCAGAGCCCACGCCTGGGCTGGGGGGACACTGCAGCTGTGTGTGCCATGCTGGGGTGTGCCAGGGTGTGCCCATGGCTCTTCCTTTGCAGTGAAATGCTTGGAGTGCAAGACTGTCTCGGATACCTACGACCCTTACCTGGACGTGACCCTGGAGGTCGAGGTACTGCTGCAGGCTTGGGGATGGGGCTCTCTGCTCTTGAGGGGGCTGTTCCTGCTCTGAGGCTCCTTGACCTGCTGGCAGGAGGGCAGCAGCCCCTGCTGTTGCTCCTCCTTCCCTGTCTCACAGAGCAGGGCCTGAGCGTGAGCCGTGACCCCTCAGTGCAGGCTGGCGGTGCTCTGGGGCAGTGCAGCCACCACACCGTGCCAGGCTCAGGGCCCTGGGGCAGCCTGCTCCCTGTGCTGTGTGCTCTCTCCCGGGGCCAGTGCCTCTGCAGGGAGCGGGGCTGTGCTGTGGGCAGGCCCCAGGTGCGCTGACCCCCGCCCTGTCCTTGCAGCGAGCCGCAAACATCGTGCGGGCCTTGGAGCTCTTTGTGAAGCCAGAGCAGCTGGGTGGGGACAACGCCTACAGGTGCAGCATGTGAGTCTGGGCTGCTGGGGTCCATGGGTGAGCTGTGGGAGGGCTGCTGTGCCTGCTGCCTGACTAAACCACGAGGTGCAGGGCCTGGGATGAAGCCTGCTGCCCCTCAGCTGCCTTGTCTTCAAAGGCATGGCCGTGGGGAGGTGTCTGGAGCAGTGCCTGGTGCCAGCAGCACCCTTCCCATCGGGTTTGCCATTGCTGTGTGGCCAGGGCAGGCAGCCATGTGGATGTTGGAACAGCTTGAATAGCCTGAGCTTTCCTGGGCAGGTGCAGGAAGAAAGTGCCAGCCAGCAAACGTTTCACCATCCACCGAGCCTCCAACGTTCTCACCATCTCACTGAAACGCTTTGGCAGCTGCGGCCCTTCAGGTGGAAGGAAAATCACCAAGGTGAGAGCTCAGTGATCCACAGCCAGGGCTGTGTCCTGGCCCCAGGTCCTGCCCCTGAGTGGGGTGGGAGGTGGTCCTGGTGCAGTCCTGCTGCCAGTGGGGAAGTTGGGTTCATCCTGGCATCTTCCTCACCACAGCCTCTGCCTGGGGAGGGCAGGGCCCCTCCCTCAAGAAATGGGGCTCATAGCACAGCAGAGCTGCTCTTGCTCTGGCAAGAAAGCCATGGCAGCTCCTGAGACCTCTTCTTTGCACAGGACGTGGGGTACCCTGAGATCCTGGACATCCGGCCGTACATGTCGGAGCCCAAGGGCGATCCCATCACGTATGGGCTCTATGCAGTGCTGGTGCACTCTGGCTACAGCTGCAACGCTGGGCACTACTTCTGCTATGTGAAGGTGAGCCCGGGATGCTCCCTTGGCACCCTGTCTGGGCTGGGGCCTGGGAGGTGCTTGTGGGTCCCTTCAGGGTGCAGAAAGGAGCGTGCTCGGCAGGGTGGGTGGTGTGGAGCACTGGGCATGGGGCACGGACTGTGCTCCCCTGCAGGAAACATGAAGGTCTGCCCTGACAGAGCTCCCTGGCCTGCCCCTGGGCCATCTGTGGGTTCTGGGGAGAGGAGCTGTGCTGGTGGGTGCTGCTCCTGCTGCTCTGCAGGCCAGGACGTTCCCTGGGCAGAGCCTGACCCTGTTCTCCTCAGGCACAGCCTGACCAAGCTCCATGTTCTCTTCCACAGGCCAGCAATGGGCAGTGGTATCGAATGAATGACCACGAGGTGCACCCCAGCAACATCAAGGTGGTTCTCAACCAGCAGGCCTATGTGCTGTTCTACCTGAGGTGAGAGAGCCCCCTGTGCCTCATGGCCCCCTACCCTGACCAAGCAGCCCCAAGGCCCCTGTGTGTGTGTGTGTGTGTGTGTGTATGCTGCCCAGGGAGGGGGTGGCAGGGAGGGGTCCAGCCCCTTGCTGTGGTTTGCTGTAGCACCTCACCTCCTCCAGCCTCCCCTTCCTCGTGTGTGCTGCTCACCCACATCCCCAGGGCTGATGTGCTTTGCCTTCCCCAGGCTGGGCAGCCCCAGGAAGAGCTCAGCAGGGCCCGTGGCCACAGCTGCCTTCAGCCCACCCAGCTGCCCTGCCAGTGACTCCAAACCAGTGAAGAAACCTGCCACTAACGGGACCCTGTGTGTGCCACCCATGGGCCCGGTGAGTCCTGAAGGTTGGTGCTCCCAGGAGCTGCTGCTCCCCGGGCCCTGGGGCTGCAGCCAGGCTGGGCTGGGTGAGTGGGAGGGTGCTGTGCAGGGCAGATCCTGATCCTGCTGAACTCACGGATCCTGGCTGGGCATGGGGAGGGTGTATCACTGTGTCTGTGGCTCTCCTCACTGAACTTCTCTCTTTCTCTGTGTCTAGAAACAAGACAAGCTGCTGGGGAAGGGGCTGCCAGCCCCAGGTGATGTTGGAGTCCCTGTTGCCCGCAGCTCTCCTGGGATGGGGTCAAAGCTGACAAACGGAGTTGCTCTGTCAAAGCTTCCCTTTCAGACCCCATCATCCAAACTGCCCCACAAAGGCACCCACGAGGCCGCTGTGCTGGGCTGTGACACAGCCCAGAGGCCCAAGAAGCTGCAGGCACCTGGCATGCCCAGAGCAGGCTTCCATGCCACCAGCACCATGTGCAGGGCCACAGCCGGGCTGCCCCCACAGGGCTCGGGCAGTGAGAAGGCACCTACCTCATCCCAGCTGCTGAAGTCCAGCCAGGAAACCAGTGCCTGCGGGGCCAGGACCCTGAAGAAGAATTCCTGGGGCAGCACAGCAGGGCAGCTGGCCAAGGAGAGCCACGGGGCCCGGAGCAGTTCCAGCAGCTTCTGCCCCTCTCAGGGAAGGGACTGTGGCACCCCCCTCCCTGCTGGCCCTGGCACCAAGCCGGCTGTCCCCAAAGACTCTGACCTGGCTGTCCCCAGGAGCTCTGGGGCAGCCCCTGTGAAGCCCTCCCCGCTGGGCAGCACTGCCCTGCAGTGGGGCAGCACCACGGCAGCGCTGCTGGCCAGGAAACCNAGACCTGGGCACTGTCCCAGGCATGGCTGAGGTGCTGCCACTGTGGCTGGACAGCCCAGCCCTTCCCAAGGGATGGGAGCAGTTGGGAAGGGCCCCAGTGCAGCCATTGCTGCCCCAGCCCCGTGCAGAATGAGTGCTGACTGTGACTGGGGATGGCCATTTTGGGAAACCTCTCCCCTGGTCCCTGCTCGTGTTGGTGCCACTGTCACCTTTCCAAAGTAAACTCTGTTGGCATTTGCTGGTGCCCACGTGGGGCTGTGCCCCCCTGACCTTGAGCTTAAATAGCCTGCCTGCATGCCCCTACAGCCCGTGTATTTATAGAGTGTGGTCAAATTCCTCCTCCTGCCCATGCCAGGTGGGAGAAGCTCCTCTGTGCCAGGCAGTGGGTGACCTCTGCATGTCCCTGGCTGCTCCCACCCAGCACCCTTCAGTGGGGACATGGACCAGGACGAACTCTGTGAGAGTGCCCTGCCCCACAGTGCTCGGGGGGCTGGCAGGGCAGGGGGAGCTGCCCTTCCCTTGGATGGGGTGCCCCTGGCAGAGCAGGGAGCCCTGCCAGCCACTGCCCTGCAGCCAGGCCCCTGCATCCTCTGAGTGCTGAGCAGGAGCCCTAGCTTTGGCACCGCCACTGTCCCTTCACCATCAGCATCCCTGGCGCTGCCTGGGAGCTTCAGGCCCTGCACTGGTGCAGGGAGCTGGGCACAGCTGCAGGTCCCAGTGCAGGGACCCAGGCACCGTGCCCAGCGTGAGCCAGCCCCATGTCCCAGCCCGTGGGTGAGTAAGGGTGAGCTGGCTGCCTGCCCTGCCCCTGCAGGTCACTGCCACGTGCCCAGCCCTCACATGCCAGAGCACACATCCTGGGCTGTGACCGCAGGGACCCTGCCACAGCAGAGCTGTCCCTGGCTCCCTCGGCAGCCCCGGAGCCAAGTGATCCTGTTGTGACCTTTCCTTATCACCACCCTGAGGCTGCTGCTGCAATGCTGCTGGTCGCTGTCCTGCACGTGCCAGCCCCATCCCTTTGGGGACAGCGGGTGACACCGGCTCTGGAGGCAGCCAGGCAGGCAGTGGCGTCTGCTGCGGGCAGTGGTGTCCTGTGAAGGTGGGAGACCCTGTGAGATGCAGGGGCTGAGTGGGACTGGTCACCCCCTTACCTCACCTCTCCCTTCCAGTGATCCGAGCCAAGGCCGTCTCTGCGAAGGAGGTGGATTCGGGGAATGACATATACGGGAATCCCATCAAACGCATCCAGTATGAAATCAAGCAGATCAAGGTAAGGGGGCACACTGGGTCAGCAGGCTGGGGCCCTGGGGTGGCCCCTTCACCAGCCACTCACAGCCCCCTCTGCTCCCCAGATGTTCAAGGGCCCCGACCAGGACATAGAGTTCATCTACACGGCTCCATCCACTGCCGTGTGCGGCCGGCTGCTGGACACCGGCGGGAAGAAGGAGTATCTCATTGCAGGTGAGCCCTGTGGGGAGGCAGGGGACACTCGGGGGGCATGGGGACATGCTGGCCAGGATGCCCCCTGTGCCCTGCAAGGTGCCTGCTGTGTGCCCGCTCCCTGGGCACATTCTCCCCTTGCCCCTCCTGCTCCTGCCAGCAGCCCTCGGGGAAGCTCCTGGCTGTGCTCGGCAGCCCCGAGCCATGGTGGGGACAGCTGGGGACAAACCTCTGCCTGCCAGAGTCCCACAGGGCACAGTGAGGGCCCCAGCACCACGAGTCAGCGCAGGCTCTCGAGGCCCTGGGCAACCCCCCTGAGTGTCTGCTTGGCCTCTCCCCAGGCAAGTCAGAGGGCAATGGCAAGATGCACATCACGCTCTGTGACTTGGTGTCCACCTGGGACTCGCTGACCCCAACCCAGAAGAAGAGCCTAAACCAGCGGTACCAGATGGGCTGCGAGTGCAAGGTGAGCAACAAGGCTGCCCCCCATGTGCCCCATACCAGGGAGGGTCTGCAGCCCCAGGCAGGGGTGGGCTCCACAGTGAGATGCTGTTCCCTGTCCTTCATGGATGATGTTGTGCAGGGACACAGCACAACGGGCAGATGGGAAGGGCTGGGCAGACAGGAAGGGCAGCCCTGCCTGTGCGTTCCTCCGGCTGGGAGCCAAGGCCAGCCCTGGCACTGGCAACCAGGGCTTCCCCAGCTCCCTGCATTGCACCCCCACCGTGCCCCACAGGGCAGGGTCAGCCTGGCATCCCCATCCAGAGCTGGGGGGTGGATGAAGCAGAGCACCTGCCTCCCCCCGGCCCCGTGCCCCTCGGGCTGGTGGGTGACAGTCTCTGTTACGCACAGATCTCGCGCTGCCTCTCCATCCCCTGCTTCGTCTCCTCCTCGGATGAGTGTCTGTGGACAGACTGGGCGATGGAGAAGAACAACGTGGACGGGCGGCAGGCGAAGCACTACGCCTGCATCAAGAGGAGCGACGGCTCATGCGCCTGGTACCGCGGCATGGCCCCCCCCAAGCAAGAGTTTCTCGACATCGAGGACCCCTAAGCCAAACGAGCGCATTCCAGTAGCCAGTAGAAAAACCTGCGAGATGTTAGACTGGTCCACGCTGATATCAAATCCTGGAGACAGCATGAAAATCCTCTCGGCCGCAGGGGGCCCCGGTGGCTGCCCCCCGTGTGTGGNCCCAGGCTGTGGTGGCTGCTCCCACCCTCTGGGTCAGGCCTGGCTCTCGTCCACATCCCTGAGTGATGCAGGGGATGGCTCCTGCCCGCTTGCCTGGCACGGAGGGGGGACTGTGCCAGTCCCTGCAGTGGGGGGGGGGGCATTGGCACCCTCTTGGTGTCACCTGTCCCAGGGTCAGTGGCACGGGGTGATGGCACAGAGGAGGGTGTGGGGGAGCCTCCTCCACAGGCAGTGAGGGGGCTCAGGAGGGTGCCAGCAGTTCCAGGTGTTTAAATTTCTCTCCTTTTTTCCTTTGTTCTTCTAACTGAACATGCTTCTGATTCTCCCACCCTCACCTCCCTGCCCCTGTCTGTGTCTGTTCTCCTTCCCTTTTTCTGCGCTCCCCTTTTTCTCTTGGCTCATGGAAACCCTGGTGTTAGACGGCCAAGTTTTTATTTGTGTCAATAACTGCAGGGCAAAGCCTCTCAGAAGGTGAGCGTGAGTGAGCACCAGGCACAGCCCCAGCCCTCAGGCACCCATCCTGCCTCCAGTCCCGGGCCTCTGGGCCAGTCCAGGTAAGCAGTGCCATTGCTGCCAGCTCCCGCATGGCAGGAAGGCTGTGGGGGCTCCATCTGCGTGGCCTGGCAGCAGCTTCTCTGTTCCCAGGGCTGGCAGGGCTTGCTGCAGCTCTGAGAAGAGCTGACACACAGAGGGAGGGAGCTTTGCAGGCCCTGAGCCCGTACTAGTGTCCCATGGGATCAGGAGGCACCAGCCTGGTCTCGATCTTGCTCTGGGTGTCCCTCGTAGCCTCCAGCACCAGCATGGGCTGCAGCAGCACCCAGTCCTTCCCAGTGTGCTGTGGGACCTGTGAGTGCTTGCAGAGCAGCATCTGATTCCCGTTTTGTGGGCAATATGGCAGCAGTTGGGTATTGTGCTCCTGCTTCTCAGGGGAGGGAAGAAGAGAGGGGCTTCCAGGCTTTTGGATCAGCCTCTTTTCCTGTCCTTCAGCCTGTCCCCATCTGCTCTTGACCTTCCCAGTCCTGAAAAGTCAGCCTTCAGCTTCATGCTCACCCTGCCTGCTCAGCACCCAGCCTCGCTGCTGACCCCTGGTTCCGCTGCCCACCCCTCACACCTCCTCCTTTCTGGCGGCAGGGACACGGGGGCTGGCCACCAACAGCCGGAGGGTTCCTTCAAAAGGAGGCGAAGGAAGAGGAAACATCGTAGCACAGAGCAGAGCCCCTGTGCTGAGGCTGTGAAGGACGGGGATGAAGTCTCCAGCCCTCCCAAGAAGGAGAGGATTGTTTCTCCAGAGGGCTGCAAGGACAAAGAGTCCAGGCTCCCCAAGAAGGAGGGCACTGCCTCTCAGGACTCCGCTGATAAAGACTCCAGGCCCCCCAAGAAGAAAATTGCTGCTCCAGGGGACTTGGTGTCTGTCGTGGGGAAGGAGGGGGCACACGAGGGTCTCTGCCATGGTCTGGCCTGTCAGGACATGAAGAGTGGGCCCACACAACATGTGCCAGAGCCCAGTACTGGCCTGGCCATGGAGCCAGCCTCACCCCTCAAGAGGAAGAAGAAGAAGAAAAAGAAGAACAGGAGCAAAGACAGCCCTTTGAAGAAGACAGAAGAGTGCAGCTCTGGGGTGCTGTCCTCAGACAGGTGAGGGACGAGGGGCATGTGAGAGCCTGAGGTCAGGCTCCTGAGTCAGGGCTTCTCACCTTTGTGCAGGTGGGATGCTCCTCAGTGTCCATCCAGCTGACCCCCTGATCCTGTGGGTGGGTTCACCTCAGGTGTCTCTGTGCCCTGTTGCTCTGTGGGAAGCTCAGACTCTCTTGCCCTGGTCTGGCTGGTGTGAGCTGACCCTGCTGCCTTCCCCAGCTCCAGGACAGCTGAGCCAGAGCCCTGTGGGACACAGCAGAGCCCAGTGGAGGCTGGAGAGCACAAGCACCGCAAGCGCAAGAGGATGGAAAGCCTCAGCAGCCTGGCTGCCAGCACCGTCCCTGCCACCACTGCCACCACCCCAGGTGTGCCCCTGTGCCC